GGCGGGGCATCCGGCGGGTGGGCAGCCCATGCGCGCCTGGGATGCCCCGCCGCCGGCTTCCCCCGAGGCTTTCAAAGCCGCGGAGGGGCTCCGGCGGCGGTGCATCCGGCGTACAAGACGACCCCCGATTTTGGGGGGATGTTTTTTAACATCAGAGGTCGTCTTGTACGCCGGAATATACGGTACTATAGCCCCTACCAGTTAACTGGAACCAGTTAACCTTTTGCATCCCTAATACAAATACAAATTTTGCTATATAAAAAGGGAAAACTTTACCACCTAGTTCTTGTTGCCCCTGGCCATTTTGTTTAGTCGCACAGGTTAAAAGTAAACGTATGGGGGGCGAACTTCATGAGGGAGACATATATACATGTGTATTTAATTTTCAAAAAACAGACCTGACTTTATAATTTATAATCTTACAATTTATAATCCCTTCAAAAAATTCAGAAAAAAACTAGTAGTTAAGTTTTAAAGAGACAAATGTTAAAAAAAAGAAACATCCTGTAGAAGATGTACTTTGTATCAATATATTTTTCTTTGTGGAACTGCAAAATATTCGTCCATGAAAACCACTGTATTCATTGTATACTAGCATACTGACCCGGCATTGCTTGGGTCTTTAAGAAGATGGGTTCAGGGCACAGATCTGGAATGCAGTAGCCAGGACAGGGGCTTGAGGATATGGGGGGCTTATGGCAGGGAGTGCAAGGGACAGGGCTGAGGGTGAGGAAGGGCTCTGGGCAGGGATTAGGAGGTGAAGAAATCAGGGCAGAGGGTTAGGAGTTGTGTGGGGGCTCAGGACAGCAGGTGGGAGTTGCATGAGTCAGGGCGGGGGGTTGGGTGGTGTGTGTGGGGGGGACTCAGGGCAGGGGGTGGAGGAGTTAGAGCAGAGGGTGAGGGGCTCAGCGCAGAAATGGGGTTCTGTAGGGGCCAGGACAAGAGGTTGGGTGTGCGGGAGACCCAAGGCAGGGATAGGGTGGCAGGAGCCATGCTGCCTGGCAGCTCCCCAGGCTGACCAGGGCTGCCAACGCCACACTGCTTGGGCGACTGGGGGGTCTGGTGGCTAGAAACATCCAGAGCACCGCCTCTAGCCAACTGTCTTGTGGTCATTCTATAGTAGAACTGTCCCAGTTAGCAAATCCCCCTCTCTTTCTGTTTTATGATAAACAATCATCTTCCATGAAAAACCAAACCCTCACCTTGCTTTAAGTTATGATAAGAGGAAGCTACATACCAAATGTGGTGGTCCTAGCTCCACATTTAGGAAGAGTTCTTGAATATACAGACTAGAGATGTTAAAGTAAGTTTATTTTTGTAAATGTGTAACTGCTGAAGTTGTTAGTGGCAACATGTTTACACATGGGTGCAAGGCAGGAGCCAGTGCTTGTAGGCAATGGTTTTTAAGCCAGCTCCCCATGAACCTGGATCCCACCTGCCCCACTGCCTCTATGTAAGGTATCAGCACAGGTGGGGGGGAAGGGGGAGGAGAGGAGAAAAGGAGGCAGCGGCTCCGCAGGAGTTGGCACATGCAGAGAGCCAGCTTCCTACACATACTGTCCCCCGGCTACCTCCTCATCATACAGAGACGGCAGCAGTATGCAGCGATCAGTAGGCTTGGCAGAAGCAGGTATGCAAGGGGAGCTGATTTGAAAGCCGCCTTCCCCCCTACTCCCACCCACGATACACAGTCAATGGGAGAGTATAAGGGGGTGCGTGTAACCATGAGAGTTAACCAATGAGCCCAGGCTCATCAGCTAACCATGTACATGCGTAGATTTGTAAATGTGCTAAAATAAAACAAATCTGAACATACAGAATGTATACATCCAAGCAAACTAAGGGAATATATTGTATTTATCATCATGACAGAAGAGGCTTTACTATCACATTTCTCTCACTTATGAAGACAAAATGTCTCCAGGACACAAACCAGAATTAATGTACTATGAAACTATAAATTAAGATAAGCCATACCTGCAGCATTATGTTCAGTAATTCCAGTAGGAGAAGATTCATTCAAAGAAGAACTGAATGGAATTGGTTCATAGTTAGAGAGGGACTGATTTGTTGAACTATATTCATGTGAATAGCTGGAAGAAAGTGGGGCTGCAGGTGTTTGAGATCCAAAAGATGACTGAGGCGGCAAATTTGCAAACTCTGATTTTTTATCAGCATATCTGGAAAAATAAGACAAAGGGATATTAAGATTGGAAATATTTAATTTAAGCACATGATGGATTGAAGAATAAAAACTCCTTGATTAATGTTTTAAAACTAGTTTATAGTAAAACATTTAAATATTAACAGATTTTTACAGAAAAAGGTAATTGTCCCAAAAGATCCATATGACCCTTCCACAACACATACACGCTTCAAAAAAAAAAGAACATACATGAGAAACTTTAGTTTTAACTAAAAAAAAAAATACAGAACATAAACTAACTTCCAACCACGAGCTTGGAAGTTTACAATATAAATAAAACAATCCCTGCCCCCCAAAGACAGTTCAGACACAGACAAAACACATCAGACACAAATAGAACAGGGTGTGCCTGTATGAGATAGTAGGGGCACAAAAATACAGCCGTAGCTACTATTTTTGAAAGTTTTTAGGAAAGAAATGTGGTTTAAGAAGCCAAGATGCAACTCAAACCCTTCATTAGAAGCTGCTATGATTGATCAATACCAAAAAATGTTTTAGAAGCTATCCGGGAGACAAAGAATTATCTTGAAGTCTGACATTGCTCTCCCCAATATGGAGTTGCTGATTTAGTTTTCTGACACAAAATGAACAGGGAGAATGATAATTAGAAACACTTCTTTAAATAAGATATCAATTGTTTACAAGCAAAACAATGTGTGTACTATAATAATTTAGGCCTGTTTCAGCAAAGCAATTAAACACATCATTTAATTTTCTGTATATGCTTATGTGCTTCACTAAACAGTGATGTATTTAAGCTCATACTTTTAATGGCCCTCTATTGAATTATTTACTCACCTGCCCATCTCTGACGTTTTTGGGAAGGAAAGATTTTATTTATGTGTATGTTGAGTCATTTAAAATAAGATGTTACAGTTACACTGTCTTTACACACATAGGTACTGTGACAAAGCTCCTATTTAAACATAGTGGGTCCTGCTCTTTCAGGCAGATTTGTTTGCCTGAGAGGCTCAAAGCAGCCCTCAATTTTAGGCAACATACCTAGGCTACATCTACACGGCAGGCTTTTTGCATAAGAATGGCTGTTCTTGTGCAAAAACTTGCAGAGCGTCTACACTACACACGTATTCTTGTGCAAGTAAATTTACAGTAAAGCAGCGGAAAAGAGGGCTTCTTGCGCAAGAGTTATTCCTCTCCCCACGAGGAATAAGCCCTCCTGTGCAAGAAGGCAGTATGGACGGGCAATAGGGGTTTCTTGCACAAGAAAACCCTATGGCTAAAATGGCCATCAGGGTTTTCTTGCGCAAGAGAGTGTCCACAATGCCATGGACAATCTTGCGCAAAAGCACATCTCTTGCGCAAAAGCACATGGCACTGTGGACGCGCATGGCAGTGTGGACTCCTTGTCACTTTTGCAGATCCAGACTAACACGGCTACCCCTCTGATACTCAATAGGGTCAGTGTTTCTAGAGTATTGTTTTCCTGTGCAAGGTATATTATTATTTTAATCCATTTTTGTGAATTTGGCTGGCAATGTCTCACAAATTAAGACTTCCATTATAAGATATTCTGTAAAAAAAATTAACCTATAATAGGAATTCTTGCCTGAAACAAATTTAAGATTGCTTTTTATACTCTAAACAGCAAGAATAGGAGTAACTTCATTACTTCCAATTTGAATCTTTTCAAACAGCCAACTTCCAAAGTTAAGTCCTATTAAAGTTCTCACTCTAGTTTTAATTACTTATTTTCTTTAGGATGGTTTTACAATTCTTTTTTAACCATCCAGCAATTACATTTTAGGTGTATGAAAGCAGGCCTGTCTGTCTGCATTTCATACAGCTAAAAGAGCTAGATAGATTCATGGAGGTTAGGTCCATCATAGAATACTAGGACTAGAAGGGACCTTGAGAGGTCATCGAGTCCAGTCCCCTGCCCTCATGGCAGGACCAATAGACCATCCCTGATAGATTCCACAACCTCCCTGGGCAATCTTTTCCCAGGTTTTACCACCCTGACAGTTAGGAACTTTTTCCTAATGTCCAACCTAAATCTCCCTTGCTGCAGTTTAAGCCCATTGCTTCTTGCTCTATCCTCAGAGGCCAAGATGAACAAGTTTTCTCCCTCCTCCTTATGACACCCTTTTAGATACCTGAAAACTGCTATCGTGTCCCCCCTCAGTCTTCTCATTTCTAAACTAAACAAACCCAATTCTTTCAGCCTTCCTTCATAGGTCATGTTTTCTAGACCTTTAATTATTCTAGTTGCTCTTCTCTGGACCTTCTGCAGTTTCTCCATATCTTTCTTGAAATGCGGTGCCCAGAACTGGACACAGTACTCCAACTGAGGCCTAACTAGCGCAGAGTAGAACGGAAGAATGACTTCTCGTGTCTTGCTCACAACACACCTATTAATGCATCCCAGAATCATGTTTCCTTTTTTTGCAACAGCATCACACTGCTGATTCATTCAGCTTGTGGTCCACTATAACCCCTAGATCCCTTTCTGCCGTACTCCTTACTAGACAGTCGCTTCCCATTCTGTGTGTGAGAAACTGATTATTCTTTCCTAAGTGGAGCACTTTGCATTTGCCTTTATTAAAGTTCATCCTGTTTACCTCAGACCATTTCTCCAATTTGTCCAGATCATTTTGAATTATGACCCTATCCTCCAGATTGGTTGCAACCTCTCCCAGCTTCGTATCATCTGCAAACTTAATAAGCGTACTTTCTATGCCAAGATGTAAATCGTTGATGAAGATATTGAAGAGAGCCGATCCCAAAACTGACCTCTGCGGAACCCCACTTGTTATACCTCTCCAGCAATATAAGAAATATTATGTATTTTATTATAAAGACATGGAGAAATATACATTCTGAAAACTAATACTGAACTTTCACTATTTTGTTATAGGTCGAACTGCTCTAGTCCAGCACCCTCAGGACCTGACCAGCACTGAACCAGAGAATTTGCTGAACCATGGTAGGTTAATATTATCTAGCAGTATTATCAACCCTCCACTGCTAACTGGGCTCTTAGAAGACATTTAGGGGTAAATTAGAGCTAAACATCAGCAGAGAACACTGACAGCCAGGACTAGTGCTGTAAACAATATTAATGGGACCATGGGAAACTTGGCCTTACACATGATAAGTAGACATTCAGCTAACTAAAATCATGCTGGACCATGGATGCTGCTGGTCCAGAGTGTGCCAGTTCAACTTGTAATATTAGGGCCAACAGTTACATATGAAATAACAGCACAAGAATTAGATGATATCTATCTATATCTATCTATCTATATATATATATACACACATCATCTATTTCTTGTGCTGTTATTTCATATTTATAGTCTGCAGTTAACAGCTTTATGTTGTTTATCCTTTAAAAACAGTCATGAGATTATAAATTCTATAGACTCTTGACTGCTGAAACTTCAAGCCTTAGAAAAAATTACTCAAATACAAATATCTTTGTTCTTGTCTTCTCAAAAACTGATTTTTAATAATCAACTGTATCTTCTTGTTTTGTTCATCTCCTAATCAGATTAACGAATGCTGTGTATTTGTTCTCACTGGGTGTTTGTGGGTCTTTATGTAATTTTTACTTGACATAATTTCTCATCAATTGTATCATGTTCAGTTCCACATTGGCAACATCTTGAATTATCTTGTTTTTTCCTTTACAATGCATTCTACACCCAGATATGGTTGTACCTGTCTTGCCTCATGTATGCGTTTACAGTGCCATATAAAATACAATTTTAAAAGAATAAAACTCCTTTATTTGCCTAGGTCTTGCTAATTGCAAACCAAAATGTATATGCTTAAAATGTATATGCCATTTGTTTAGCATGAATTTAGTTAACTTGAAAATGAAATGATTGATATCCCTGGCTTCAAAGTAATACAGTGTAAGAAGAAAATATTATAGTTTGCACAAATTACTGCTAATTACTGTGTCTCAGACAGAGCCACAACATTCTCATACAATAGTATTTTCCCTCCCCAAAAAAGTAAAAGATAGGCAGCTGAGTAAATAATTCAATACAGGGACATTTTCATCTGATGCCACTACTTTGTGAATTCATAAAGAATAAGTTTCCTGGAGATAACAAGTTGCTAGAAAGGAAGGAAAAATGCAGCTCTCAAGATAACTAAGTTGCAAATGTAATTCAGATCTTTCTAGAAACTTCTTACAACTTAATTTTTCCCAAGGAAAAAAATTAATAACTTAAAGAAATAAAGTGAAAGAACAGATATCTTACTCATGTGGAAGAGATCTGTGCCTTTGTCGTATACTTTCTCCTATTGGAGAATTCTCCAGTTTCTTAAATTTCTCCTGGCAGATCGACAGATAAGAAATCTTTCCAGCAATATATCCACATATACCAGCAACTTATATGTAAAGAAAACAGAAACTCTGATATACTCTGTACCATAACATCAATATACGTCACAAAAAAAGTAGAATTGTTTAAAAATTAACTACAAAGTAAATCATTCTACTATTGACAGTTAACACTGAACACTCAAAATCTACAAATAAAAACCTATTGTTCTTTTTATTCCTTCCAACTTTTAAATGTGTTGCATATCAATTTTAAGCATATACAATAAAATATAATCTATGTGGAACATAAATGAGTTGGTTCACATCAGAGACTTTGTTTTAAATTATCTGACTTGAGTTTTAAGAATGATAAAATAATACAAATTTTTTTATTTCAATATACATTTCAAGTAAACCTCCAAAACAGATCTCAATAAACTAAAGGGGCACAATATATATTACTTTTACATGAACTTTAAAAAAAACATTTTTCCACAGAGCATTTTTAAAATAATATGCATTGTATTTATTAACATTTATTTGCAAATAATTATGTTTTTCCCCACTCTTCTGTTGATGTTCAGAAGGCTTTTTTGGAATGCCTAAGACAACTATCAAACATGCTCAGCATATCCCTCGTTTCCTCTTTTTTCTCCTAATTCTTTCCTGCTCCCTTCTCAGTTACAGCTTTGCTGCTGCTACTAACACCCTCTTTGAAGCACTGAGAACAGTGTCCACTTGATCTCCACCAGGGCAGCATACTAGAACAGTTATATGCGCTAGTGAAGACAACACTATTAAGTAAGGTTCTTTGGTCTGTGTCATCCAGGATGTCATAGCAGATGATCACAATGGTCCTTTTTGGCCTTAAAATCCATTAATGTTTATTCTGTCCATTTAATATCTTCATTGTTATAAACTATTTTAGCTATTAATTAATATTGTGTGTTCTACTATGTCATAGCAATAAGTTCAGTCTGCTATTATATGGCTCAATCTTGCTTTCACTGAAATCAATGGAAGTTTTGCTATTGATTTTAAGCAGAGCAGGTCTGTGTCCATACTTTGCGATAAAGGAAATATACATAATTTTCCATATATTCATCTGCGGAAGACTCTTAGTTGCTTTTAAGGCAAAGAAAGCTTAATTTCTGTTAGCATTTCTTTGAGAACGTTCATATTTGTTGGAAGTATCACTGAATTTTGGAAATATGATAGAAAAATGGTGCCCACTGGAACCATACTGTATAGTCTTCAATTACAGGCAGTCCCCGAGTTACGCGGATCCGACTTACGTCGGATCCGCAGTTAAGAACGGGGCACTTCCTCTCCCTGGTCTCGAGCACACCAGGGAGAGGAAGCAAAGCGGCGGCGGAACGCGCGGCCAGCTGACAGCCCAGACGCGTCTGGGCTGTCAGCTGGCCGCGCGTTCCGCCGCCGCTTTGCTTCCTCTCCCTGGTGTGCTCGAGACCAGGGAGAGGAAGTGCCCCGTTCTTAACTGCGGATCCGACGTAAGTCGGATCCGCGTAACTCGGGGACTGCCTGTAATTGAAGACTATACAGTATGGTTCCAGTGGGCACCATTTTTCTATCATATTTCCAAAATTCAGTGATACTTCCAACAAATATGAACGTTCTCAAAGAAATGCTAACAGAAATTAAGCTTTCTTTGCCTTAAAAGCAACTAAGAGTCTTCCGCAGATGAATATATGGAAAATTATGTATATTTCCTTTATCGCAAAGTATGGACACAGACCTGCTCTGCTTAAAATCAATAGCAAAACTTCCATTGATTTCAGTGAAAGCAAGATTGAGCCATATAATAGCAGACTGAACTTATTGCTATGACATAGTAGAACACACAATATTAATTAATAGCTAAAATAGTTTATAACAATGAAGATATTAAATGGACAGAATAAACATTAATGGATTTTAAGGCCAAAAAGGACCATTGTGATCATCTGCTATGACATCCTGGATGACACAGACCAAAGAACCTTACTTAATAGTGTTGTCTTCACTAGCGCATATAACTGTTCTAGTATGCTGCCCTGGTGGAGATCAAGTGGACACTGTTCTCAGTGCTTCAAAGAGGGTGTTAGTAGCAGCAGCAAAGCTGTAACTGAGAAGGGAGCAGGAAAGAATTAGGAGAAAAAAGAGGAAACGAGGGATATGCTGAGCATGTTTGATAGTTGTCTTAGGCATTCCAAAAAAGCCTTCTGAACATCAACAGAAGAGTGGGGAAAAACATAATTATTTGCAAATAAATGTTAATAAATACAATGCATATTATTTTAAAAATGCTCTGTGGAAAAATGTTTTTTTTAAAGTTCATGTAAAAGTAATATATATTGTGCCCCTTTAGTTTATTGAGATCTGTTTTGGAGGTTTACTTGAAATGTATATTGAAATAAAAAAATTTGTATTATTTTATCATTCTTAAAACTCAAGTCAGATAATTTAAAACAAAGTCTCTGATGTGAACCAACTCATTTATGTTCCACATAGATTATATTTTATTGTATATGCTTAAAATTGATATGCAACACATTTAAAAGTTGGAAGGAATAAAAAGAACAATAGGTTTTTATTTGTAGATTTTGAGTGTTCAGTGTTAACTGTCAATAGTAGAATGATTTACTTTGTAGTTAATTTTTAAACAATTCTACTTTTTTTGTGTCCGACTTACATACAGATTCAACTTAAGAACAAACCTACAGTCCCTATCTTGTACGTAACCCGGGGACTGCCTGTACTTCCAGATACTTCTGGGGTTCGTAGCGCCTTTAGACACTATCCCATCCACAGAAACCACTAGAAAACCAGAAGTCAGATGCAAGAAACATCTGTACTGTGGGACCTTGAACAAGGAATTGTCCTCTTCACAATACATTCCAAAATCAGCAAGTCTTCCTGGATGAAGAAGATCACCTTGAACTTCAGGAGAATTAATGGCAGTTTTAACTTGGACCGTGGTTGTCTCTTGCTTTGACAACTCAAGTCATCCAAATCACAGTTCCTAAACTGACTGTATTTACGTTGCAACATCACCTAATGGCCACAGTCACGATAGTGTCAAAAGGAGAAGAAGATTCTCCAGCTGTTGAATTTTTCCAAAAAACCAGTTTCGCAATTACAAAAAAAAATAAAATTTTTGGTTAAAAGCCCATCCTGGTTAAAAAAGGACCAGAAAACATCAAGTAGAAATAATAATAATTCCCCCCTCCCCCCAATAAACTAACAGAAACAGAGGAAGTGAATAGGAATTGATATAAATTGTAAGTAACAATGTGTAGTATATTTATATGGAAAGCTAACCACTAGAGGGATAAATTCAACGCTGGAAATGCTAAGGACAACTAGACTGAATATAAGTTTGTCAGAACAAAAATTCTAACAATGACATAGGTTCATTAAAAGAGACAATATAATTGTTAATAATGATGCAGAAAATGCAAAAGTGTTCAATACATATTCCTGTTTTCCTGTTCTATATCTGTAAATAGTAGAATGACATACTAATCTCACATGACAATGAACTACTTTCCAGTCCATTAGCAACTATGAAGGATGTTAAAAATAATCTGCTAAGGATTAAACATTTTTTAAATCAGCAAGCCCAGGTACCTTGAACCAAAGAGGCCTATTTTAATGCATTTTGGAATACTTGGAAAATTTCATAAGACTGGAAGAGCACAACATTGGCACAACATTAACAAAGTAATCAAGCAGGGTGGCCGAGAAACAACAGGTCGGTAAGACTGATTTCCATTGCAGGCAAAATAATGGAAAAAGTGATATGGGATTCATTCAATATGTACTTAAAGGGTAGAAATATTATTAATGCTAATCAACAACGTTTTGTGGACAACTGATCTTATAAAAAAATCTGCTTTCTTTTTTATGAGATTACAAGTTTGATTGATAAAAATAAATGCTTAAACACAATATACTTGCATTGAATTTAGTACCACACAATAGATGAGATGGACATAGGATACAGACCTGTTGATAATCTCTGGGTAAAGATAAAAGGGTTAAAAAACAAGGGTGATTTCATAGTAGGGGGTCTATTACAGAACACCCAACCAGGAAAAAGAGATGGATGAGGCTTTTTTTTTTTTTTTTTTTTTTAAGAAAATCATCCAAAGCTCAAGGTTGATGGGGATGGGGGACTTTTAACTATCCAGACATCTATAGGGAAAACACCACAGTAGGGCACAGATCCAGCAAATGATTGGAATATATTGGAGATAATTTTTTATTTCAGAAGGTGAAAGAAGCTACTAGGGAGGAGGCTCTTCTAAATTTGGTTTTAATAAATAGGGAGGAACTGGTTGAAAATTTAAAAGTGGAAGGCAACTTGGATGCAAATGATCATGAAATGATAGCGTTCATGATTTTAAGGAATGGTGGAAGGGAGAACAGCAATATAAAGTCAATGGATTTCAAGAAGGCAGACTTTAGTAAACTTAGGAAGCTGGTAGGTAAGGTTCCATGAGAAGCAAAAGTAAGAGAAAAACAATTGAACATAGCTGGTAGTTTTCCAAAGGGACATTATTAAGGGCGCAAGAGCACTCCATTCCAATAACATAGCTGAAGTCGGCATACCTCACATTGTCTTCACAGGGGAAGGTCAATGGGAGCAAATACTCCCATCGGCTTCCCTTGGCGCTGACCTGAGGTGCACTCATCATTTGATTTAGCAGGTCTTAACTAGACCCGCTAAATCAAACAACAGAATATAGATCTCCAGCACGTAAGTATTGACATGGCCTCAGCTGGCTTCAGTGGAGTTGTTTGGATTTATGATAGAATAATTGATGAGTTTCATTAACTAGATTCTAGTAAGGTGAACTAATATGTGATCATACTTACATGCAACTTTGGGAAGAGAGCCAAACCTTGAATGAGTGGTGAGAATTCCTGAAAATAAGCAAAGTGATTACTTACTAAAAGAAAAGTAATTATTTTAGTAAAATCACAATGGTGAATTTAAACACTGCATTAACATTTAGTTTTTCATGTGGCCATACGATAATAGATAATCTTCTGTAATACACGAGATGTTTTAACTTTTCATGGAGAAAAATCCCAACATTTCTGACTTATAACACAAACCAGAAAGTTTCCTGAAAAAAACATTACAATCCTACCTCATTTATAACAATAATTCTATAGACTTATGTCCCCTCTTATTTGTTTCTTCTGAGATAAACAATCCCAACCTTTTCAGCCACCAAAAGCAAGGTGGGTTTTTTTTAATGTATTTTTGCATTTTAATAGTCCATATCTTTATCTATTTTAGTTACAGAATATTTTTATATGGCATGGCCACAAATAAATACAATAGTCTATATGAGGGGAAACCACTGATTTATATAATGATATTTTAATATTAAGGTATTTTCCATTTCCAAAAATCTACTGTCATCCCTAGATTTCTTTCAGAATTACTGCTTTGTAGATTCCTGCCATCACTATATATTTTTTCTGAATATTTTTTCTTCCTCATACATATAAAGTCTTGCATTTCTCTACTCTTCACATTTTTGCAATATTTTCTACACATATTTCTAATCTATTTACATATTGTGATTTCAAATCAAACTCATGCATGGCAATCTTGTTGAGAGTATAAGTAAAACTTATCTGAGAAACATGAAGTTGAACTAAAATATGATTTAAAGTTTACCTTTATGAATTAATCCCTGAGTGACAATCATGCTTACTGCAGAAATTGGCAGAGCTGTGGGGGAGAAAAGGTAGCTTATCAACATAGTCGGGGAAAAAAAGAATTATAATTTGCAGTCTTTTGAAAATGGTAGATGTTCTCTCTCCTTATGTCTTCAAATCAAGACAGGTCCCTTTCTGGTGACGTGTTAGCCAAACAATCATAAGTTATAGGCTCAATACAGAAGTACTGGCTGAAGCTTAATGGCCTGTGATAAAAAGGCTGTCAGACTACATGATCTAATGGTCTCTTCTTGCTTTAAATTCTATGAATAAGAAAACACTACATTTAGAGTTGAAAAATCTGGTAGAAGGTATTCTCCTAAAACTGAATAACTGCATGGAAGTTTAGTAGAAACTAATTTAGAGTTTCAACAATTTCTCTTCTTTCAATGCAAATATAAAAATAAAATAGTAATGACTCTACAGCATGTTTTAAAATTCCCATCATCACCTACATCAGAGGCAATGTCTTATTTTTTTAAAAAAAAGTCAGATGACCATTGTCCATCATTTACAACCCTCATCATTACTTCCCCTTTCTGAAAGCTAAGGTTCACGAATGGTACTTGCTGCACAACTGGAAATTCAATATTCCAATTATTTCAAACCCATGCTGGGAGCGAGTCCCAAAAATAAGGGGAAAAAGGTGCTTTTTCAGACAAATAGGATCTACCTATTTAGAAATCTACTCCAAAAGGGACAGACAGCTAGCTAGTTCAAATCACAGGGTCCCAATGCATTATGTTCACATAAAAATATACTGTTCAGAGGCTGCTAAATTCTACATCAGGTTCGTTTTTCACAGAATTAAGATGCAGCCTCATAAAAACTATAGTGCAGCAATCTACTCTCAAGATAACAAAGGTACAAGTGACAGACACAAAGCTCATATCCAAAAATGTCATTTCATAATCTCCAGGCTGTCTGTAAATAAAGAAGTGAAAATGGTCTTTTGGATGAGTGGAAAAATGTAAAGTAGTAATGCAATTTTTGACATGAATTCTTCAGCATTTTGTGAAAAACATTGTTTTAATAATTGAAACAAATCACATTGTATATTTGGACGAGCAACATTCTGTTAAAAGAATGCATGATCACAACTTTTCTATGATTCTATGCAGAATTAAGTTTGCTACAGAGTCACCTTTCCAAATCTCAGCCTTCATTGAACAAAATATGTCTAGTGCTCATGGTGCAGAGATTTTTTTTGATGGTATGTCTACATAGCAACTAGATATCCACAACTGGTGCATACCAGCCAGTGTTCTTTTTTTAAAAAGGTGCCGGTACTCCAGGGGAAAAGTTGTTGAGCGCTGACCTTTTAAGGGACATGGCCCCTTTAAGGCCCAGCTGACTGTCGGACATTTGCATACATAGATGCTGGTACACTCCATTCTTTCCAGGTAAGCTCTGACCGGAGGTGAATAAGAAAATGCTACATTTAGATGGGCAGTACCGTCACAAAAAAAGCACTGATGCCAGCTAACTCAGGCAGGTGGGAGAATCCTGGGCTCTAGGAAACTACAGGATGGGAGGATCCCAAAGCATGGGCTCCAGCCCAAGCTCAGAAGTCTACACTGCAATGCAACAGCTCCATGAACTAGAGTTGGCTCTCATGGGCCAGCCTGGAAGTTGATGTGTAGACATAACTACTTACCCAGTACCTGGGAGCAAACCCTGCGCGTGGCCCACCAAAAGCAAAGGACTGCTCCAGCCCTGCAGGGGCTGTTAGCTGGCCATCCTGTGCGCAGAGGGCCTGGAGTGGAAGCCCCATACATAGGGAGGAGGGAGGAGAAGGACCCAGGAGCAGGCAAAGACTTCCAGGCAAATGCACTCCCTCTAGCCCCGGCCAATCAGGATCTGCAGATGGGGGAGCACATGATCTCCCTCTGCCAGGGGTGGGCTGCACCTAAAGAGAACAGCCCTGTACCGTCTGAGGTCCCGACCCTTCCAGGGCAGCCCGCAACCACTTCTAAAATGTGTGAAGTGGAGCTCCTTCAAAAATTATTGCCCATCCCTGGTGTAAGCTGAGGAGGGACTTCATGTGTTGCCCAGTGGTGGTGAAGTCAGGAAGCTGACCTCTGATGTGCAAAGAGCTTTACAAGCCTGGGTAACAATAGGAAGCAAAATAGGCCCACAAATGGATCTTAATTGTAAATGCTAGTGGATCAAACATTCAGAAAGATGATGTGACATGCATTTTCATTCCATGATATTACTTTTTTTAGTGCAGAATTTGATTTGAGTGAAGTTGCTCATACAAATAGTCTTTACTCATCTTGAGCAAAGATTTGCAGGTTTTGGCTCTAGCTCTTAAACAGAAGTGATAATGACAAAAACAACATTACAAAGGAGGAAGAAAGAAGGGATTAAAATGGAGACAAACATGATTTATCAGCAAACTTGACTCACATCTATACCAGAAGCTCTCTTCGTTGCATTCCCTGAAAATTCTTCTTTCATCCTCTGTTGGTACGTAAGCTACAGGATTCTTTCATTAGGAAAGTTGAACATTAAATATATTTGTATATGAAAATATTAACAGAATGAAGCTTTTAAAAATGATTTTCTTAATCTCCATACTTTTAGAAAATAGCTGCAATTTAATAAATTGCGATCTTTATTCATCTGTGAATGCCTCATTGGGCTAGCACTATTAACTAGCTAACTTAGTTAGAGTTATATCTATCCAGGTCTCTTGCTGCCTGAGGCATAAATTTAAAGATGCAATAACACTGAAAAACAATCACACAGAACCTTATTCAGACATTAGAAAATAATCAGAAACCCTGTCACACCCTTAAATACCATCCTTTAGGCTATGTCTTCACTGGCAGCTTCTTGCGCAAGAACAGCCGTTCTTCCGCAAAAATTTGCCAGCTGTCTACACTGCACGAGCGTTCTTCCAGAAGTAAATTTACAGTCTAGTGTCAGAAAACAGGGCTTCTTCTGGAAGTTATTCATCTCCCTGTGAGGAATAAGCCCTCTTGTGCAAGAGCTCTTGCACAAGAAGGCAGTGTAGACAGGCAACATGAATTACTTGCGCAAGAAGCCCCTATGGTTAAAATGGCCATCAGAGCTTTCTTGTGCAAAAGAGCATCTACACTGCCATGGATGCTCTTGCGCAAAAGCACATCTCTTGCACAAAAGCACATGGCAGTGTAGACGCTCTCTTGTGGAAGAGTTTTTGCACAAGAACTCTTCCACAAAAGAGTTCTTACGCAAAAAGCTGCCAGTGTAGACATAGCCTTATTGTATTCTTCCTGCCACAAAAGCCTGGGTACAAAGATCTTGCTGCTTGCCTTAAGCTCAACCGATTCTAACTGTTCATAGTACAGGATCATTGTGGAAAAATCTTAGCTACATAAAACATTAGAGTTATCTGTATAAAGGCTGGCCCACTCCTCTTTCACGCCCCCAAAAAACTTGGAATGCCTATCAGCTCTCTTTTCACAATAATGCTAAGTGATGTATGGCTGTGGTGAACACCTAATACTATGAATAAAAGATACAATTTTTTGAGAATAAGGTATCCTATATTACTAATTCAAGATATATTTTTCTCGTCAACTGAACCTCACAGCAGTGGTACAGCAAAACTTCAAATTACAAAGCGACATAATTAATGCTCAGTTTTTGTCATGGATGTTTTTAATAAAAGCCAGAGACAGGTCATGAGCAAAACCAAAAAACCACAGAAGCCTGTGACCTGTCCCTGGGTTTCACTAAAAATATCCCTGACAAAATGGGGAAGGAGGTGGTCCTCCTATGTACTGTGGGGAATGAGAGGCTCAGGGTCCCCCACCCCCGGCCCAGATGCTGGGATACTAGGGGGTCCCCATGTCCTTCTCTCCCCCCACCCCGTGGCTGAGAGCTGCAGAATGCTCCAGCCACAGCTGGTTGCAACTGAGCTGCTGCAGGGTCAGGTGTCTGTCAGACACTTCTGGGAAGTTGTAAGATCTCCTCCACCACGGTGAGGGTTGGGCTCTGGGCAGAAAATGTCACACAGGGCAAAGAAATCCACAAATTCTGTGACCTCTGTGACAATCATAGCCTTATCCATAATATAGGGAAACGCTACATAAAGAGTTAGCCCATAGTATATTCTATTTATTCAACATCAGTTTGTATTTTAGGCTAGGCTAGTTTATTATTTATGCTTCCAAAAAAGAAGTCTGAGTATCAAAAGCACAGGGGAAAGGGTAGGGAGACTATACAGGTAGCAAATTTCCCTTGCAACTAATTCTAAGGATGTGTTTAGTGCACCCAGCTTCAGTGAACAAAGAGGGGGTTTGCTCAGCGTTTCAATGACACCTCACTGGCACACTCAGATGACACCTTCAGATATTTTATTAAATCTTCCTTATTTAAACGATCCCGGCTTGAGACGCCAGCCCAGCAAACGCGGCAGAGATCGTTTGCTGCAGCAAACCCCGTCACCCCGAACTGCGGCTGGCACGGTGGGGGAGGGGAGCTCCATAACAGCGCAGCGCTCACTGCAACCTCTCGGGCATCACAACCGCTCCCCTCGCGTCTGCCCGGCACCTCAGGGAGCGCCTGGGCAACGGGCTGCCGCAGCTGTTCAGCCCCGAGAGAAGGGGCTCCGCACCTGGCTCAGGCCGCCACGCTCGCCTCCTGGGAGGCCCCGCCCTACCTGCCCGGGAGGATCCATGAGGACAAACACGGGGAGGGGACTAGGAGGGAGGCAAAACGGCTCTAGGCTGGGGCCAACCGCTCCGACACACAAAACTCCAGGGCGGGGGAGGGGGACCGGAAGTCCCCCGCGCCAGAAGGTCGCAGCGGCAGGAAGAGCGATTTCACTGTAATGACCCGGATACACACATGGACTGGGCAGGAACGCACGTTCCTACCTGGAGCGCATGCTCGCCTTTCTTCGCCCCGCCCCTTTTGCCCTGACTACGGGGTTGTGAGGTGCAAAGGCCCCGCCCAGGCGCAAGTCTCACCGAGTGGCTGAAGGCTGGGTTCTGCACCTCCCCCTCCCCCTCCCCCCGGGCAGGTGCGTGTCCCTCTTTGTGCCCCAGAGAGCCACGGGCGGGAATGGCAGCCCAGCCCCCTCGTGACGACACAGGGCTCCGGTTCTTCTCTCTCTAAGGAAAGGCTGAGCTGGTTTCCCCATCCCCAGGGGCCCCATTATCCAAGTTTCTGCTTAAGCAGGATTCAGATCACTCAGGAAACACAAACGACGCAGGCGCGTGTGACGTACGGTCGCTTAACAGGTTGTGCCTACCTTTTCGCCAGGTGTCCTGTGCAACGTCTTACACGTCGAGCGCGAGCTTGTGCATTGTAGCAGTGCTTTTCCTAGGGCCTTGCCTGTTGCTAGAGTAACTGTTTTGCTTCTCACCTCCCAAAAAAGAGTCTGTTACTCTGGCTGCACAGAAAAAATCTTCCAAACGTAAATGGGTCGTTGTCGGCATACAACTAGAGATGACAGCCCCCGTAAGTGGGAATTATTCCTTTCTGTAATGGTGTGTTAACTAAGGGAATTACGAAAATTGAAATTCAAGGTCCAGGTCATTTCAACGCACAATGTATTTCCTTCCTTTACTTTGTCTGCCTGCTGGCTTACAGGAAAATTGCATTCTGTGATAAATTCAGGGATATTCATAGCTAAAGAAATGATGAATTCTCAAGAGGTTATTCTTACACACCATTTATTTAAAAATGGTAATATATTTTTGGTATTGTAACTGACTCGCTGTCGGATGTCACTGTATAGGCCACATGATAAACATTTGCAATACGCAGTAACATGCTCTGTGTACTGTATTAGACTCCAAACTTCAGGCGTGAGGCAGGTTACCAATAAACATCTATTACATAAAAGAAGATTGTTTGCAAAGGCTGGCTAAAAAAAGTGAATGCCATTTAATCTGGGTTTATGGATTTAAATCACCAAAAATCACTGATTTAAATCAAGTTTCCCACTGATACTTCTTCACATATTTCTTCTGGTGCAAATCTGATCACTAAAACCAGTTAATTTACAGCTCAGTACAGTATTTTACAAAATCTAAGAGGATATACTTTGTGTAATTTTTTGATAACTTGAATTTTATTAATTTAGGAAATAGTACATATTATTCATGTTCCGAGTCAAGCTGCAGCAGCAGTACTTTAGGAAAGGTTAAAACTACATCCAGACCTATATGCAGGGGGGAGCATGCAAAGGGTGTGAAATCACCCCTAATGGTTCCCTACGTAAGCATGCTTCAGCCAGTAGGAAGGGGAAGGTAGGAGAGGTGTGCTGCCTGAGCTTCCTTCCCCCATGCTCTGGCCATCCAGGGAAAGGCTGGGGCTGATTTCTTCACTTATTTGGGGGACTGTGGGTGTATATTTACACCCTTGCAGTCCACATTTACAAAAAAGCATCCCCCACAGAAATGCCTGCATATGGGCCTAAAATCACACACATAAACACAATAGCATTTATATTTTATTAAACTAAACCTTAAATCTACATATTTTAGAGAGTCCATTTGTTCAAGAACTCCTCCTAAATGGTAAGAGCTAGGGCCACCAAATTTGGCGTGCAGCTTCCTCTTCTGCTAACTTAGAACAAGATCAGGTTTTGGTTGTGCCAGGACAATCAGAACCCCCTGGAGAAAATGACTTTTCCCCAGAACACGCAAAGGGAGGGGCAAGTCCTCAGAACACTAAATGTATCCTTAAAAGTTCTACAGGTTGAACTTCTATTAACCAGGACTCCCTGATTCAGCAACATCAGTGGTCTGGCAGGACCACAGATGTTTCAGGACCAGAGTCCCAGTGGAAGGCTGGTGGCTGGGCTCCCCAGCTCCCTGCAGCTAGACTTCTAGGTACAACCCAGCAGGGATGCCTGGCGGAGCCAGGAGCCTGGGCACATCACTGCTGGGCTGCCTGGGAAGGCCAGAAGCCTGATGCACCACAGTGGGGCTGCCCAGTGGGCCAGGAGCCTAGTGTGCCACAGAAGGGCTGCCCAGCATGGCCAGGAACCCAGCACACTGCAGATGGGCTGCTTCGCACACAGCCAAGAGCCTGGCACACAGTGAACAGGGCTGGATCTGGGCTGCCTGGCTTAGCGGGCTGGGGGGCTGGCAGGGCAACAGAGCTTGCATTGGCAGCCAGGAGAATGGTGACCGGTCCAGGGCTAGGGGAGCCGTATATGACCTCCCCTGGACTAGCAAATCCCTCATTCGGGACTGGTCAGGTCCTGAGGGTGCTGGACCAGGGAGGTCCAACCCACACAACTAGCTCTCATCTTCCTCTCTTGCAGTGTCATTGGATTGACTGTGCTTAGAGTGCACTTAACTTTGGAGTAAACCCCATTGAAAACAAGTATAGGATTGGGTTCTATTTTGGGAAAGCTGAGTTATTCTGAGGTAAAATAGGGAATAGATTTATGACATCACCATTATGGTCTGTGACTATGATGTTCCTAAATAAGAGGCATTTATTATATAATATAAAATAAGTAAATGACACTCAATGGCAACTGGAAACTAGATTTCTCGTACTGCAGTTTTCTGTATTGTATACTTGGTGATAGATTCTAAACCTAATTAACTAATTAAACAAGCCAGAAGGATTAGATAAGCTAATTTTTTTTCCTAGCAACATCCAACAGTAAACAGCTAGGGAATTTACTTGTTAAATCATCCTTATACTAAAAGGCATTGAGAGAGTCTAGAAGAATGACAGATTGCAAAGTCAATTCACATTGTTTTTTAGACATATCCACATCATTTCTCCCAATAAGCAGTTTTCCTTATGATGTTTCATTCTTGCTGTTATACCCTGCATCTTCTTCTTGCACTGCTGTCAGGGCTGTTTCCTCACTCTGAGTGCAGAAGGTGAGGGCCTGTAAGAAAGTTCAAAACCTTCCCTGTACAAGCACTGGTCACAAAAAACTTCCCCTCAGAATTATAATACACAGATTTTGGGGAACTGCTGCCACCATCAAGTGCTTTTTGAGCCCTAAAAACCAAGGGTGAACACATGAAGTCACCCCCAGGGGTATTCCAAGCTCCTTTGTCGCAAAAGAGCTTGAAAAAAGAAAAGAGAAAAGCAAGCTGCTGTCTCTGGTAGCTGACCCCTCAGTTAAAGGCATGCAGATACATACAGACAGTCCTCCTAGGACACAAGAATCAAATCATCACCTTAAAAAACGTGATTTTTATTACAAAACAAAAGATAAACTTGATAAAGCATACTTGGTTGCTAGATGTTACAGAGCAACTAAGGAAAACAAATAAAAAAAAAACAGAGAAAATCTCTAGGAAAGCTCATAATACCATCTACATGTTTTGTTAGTCTTTCAAGTGCTACCAGACTATTTGGATTTTTTAAAGTTTTTCATGTTACAGATTAACTCAGCTACCCCTCTGAAATTTCAATTAATCAGCTAAACAAGTAGTAAATGGAATTTCCATCGACTAGTCAATTAGTCAATGAGGAGGGGGGGGCCTTGCTATCCTGCTGCACCTCTCCCTATGAAATGTACAAGACCCACCCACCGCTTCTGTACATTTCAAAGGGAAGACCCAGCGGGTTCCCGCTGCCGTGTATATTTCCCTTATACATTTTCCCATTTCCCTGCCTTGTTCCTACAGGCGATTCCTGTACATTTCCGTCTGTTTCATTTCCCACTCGCACCATTTCCTCACTGCCGTCTGTCTCCCTGCAGAGAAGGTGCTAGCGGGAACCAGCTTTTAAGCCTGTGCACCGCCGTATCAGCTCCTGCTCTCTCCCTTTGCTGCCTCTCTCTGATAGACTAGTCAAGTTCCTACTCAACTACCCGATAAGCATTTGGGTACTCATTATCAGGTAGTTGACTAGTTGCTTAGATCCCTAGAAAACAACAGAAGAGCGATGTTGGGGTACTGTGGACTTCTAAAATGAGCACAGAGGATAGAATAGGGAAAGGAGTATCTAGGGATAAGAATTCATAAATGTCAATACCATAAGACAAAGAAACAGCTTGTTAATTTACATAGAGTTATACAAATTTGAATATAGAGTACTACCTGATGATGCAAAAGGCTCCAGTTTCTTCCAAACCTACAATTAATAATTCTGTACCTTTCTAGCCTCAGATCAATTAATTTTGCATTTTGTGATACAGGCAGACCCTGGGTTACGTACAAGATAGGGACTGTAGGTTTGTTCTTAAGTTGAATTTGTACGTAAGTCGGAATTGGTACATATTGTACCCCAGGTGTCCCCGATTCAGCTGCTGCTGAAACTGACCAGCGGCTGACTACAGGAAGCCCGAGGCAGAGCTGCTTTGCCCCGGGCTTCCTGGAATCAGCCACTGATCAGTTTCAGCAGTAGCGGTTACGTACAAGATAGGGACTGTAGGTTTGTTCTTAAGTTGAATTTGTACGTAAGTCGGAATTGGTACATATTGTACCCCAGGTGTCCCCGATTCAGCTGCTGCTGAAACTGACCAGCGGCTGACTACAGGAAGCCCGAGGCAGAGCTGCTTTGCCCCGGGCTTCCTGGAATCAGCCACTGATCAGTTTCAGCAGTAGCTGAATCTGGACGCCTGGGACAGAGCAGCTGGGGCGCTGCCCGGGAGGGCT